GGCCCCCCATATGCCGGCCCCACGCTCGCTCAACCTGCTCTGCCACCCCGACCTACCGGCCCTGGCTCCCTTCTGAGCCGGCACTCCTGCCGGCTGTCTCCACCGCTCTCCAATGCACTCCACCGCACTCCACCGCTCTCCATCGCACTCCACCGCACTCCACCATTCTCCACCGCACTCCACCTCACTCTACCTCTCTCCGCCGCCCTCCTCCGCCGTTCTGTGGACACGAGCAGTACACCGTGTGTACCGAGGCCGCAATGGTGCCCCTCTTACCATGTTCCCCCGGGACCCTGTATCTGGACTGTTCATGCTGGACACTGCGTACCCCCCAATAGGAGCGTCCCCCCAGGTCGGCGCGTCCACTCAGGTAGCTGCAGTCTGCTCGTGTCGGTCTCTCATTCACCCTTCACTGTTGTGGCACCAACGCCTAGATCACCCCGCTCTCCCGCGTCTGCGTCACATGTCCCATCACGAGCTTGTCCATGGTCTCCCAACGTCGCTTCCTGCTCTCCCTCCCTCGCCTGCGCCGCCGTGCACGCCCTGCGTCGAGGGCTGCGCCATGCTCCCCACTCCTCCTCGCTCCCCCCTACCACTGTGCCACTCCAGACCCTGCACCTAGACGTTGGGGCCCCGCCCCTAGCCCGAGGCCGAATCGCGTGCCCTAATTTTTAGTGTTTGTCGACGACTTCACGCGCTACACCACAGTGTTTCCCTTGGAGCATAAGGCCGACGTGCCTGACGCCCTTATCTCGTAAGTCGTAGCTGCGCGAGTCCACCGCGGCCTCCCCGTGCTGCATCTCCACTCCGACCGTCTCTCGACTTCTCAACAGCGTTTCTTCAGGGCAGTCTACACGAGCAGGTCTACCTGCGTCGCCCGCCAGGCTTCACTGGCACCTTCGCCCCGTGGACCCAGTGGCTCCTCCAGCGCCCGGTTTACGGCCTGCGGCAGGCAGCCCGTGAGTGGCACGACACGTTGCGTGCTACGTTAGCTGACCTGCATTTCTTCCCGTCGTCTGCAGACCCCTCACTCTTTGTTCATGCTGGCGAGACCCTGTTCTGCATCCTTGTCTACGTAGACGACCTGGTCTTCGCTACTGCAGACAGAGACACACTGGCCTTCGTGAAGGCTGAGCTGGTGAGGAGACACACCTGCACTAACCTAGGAGAGCTTCGCCGCTACCTTGACCTGCAGATCTCCATGGACAGAGCAGCGCGCACCATCACTCTTACACAGTCACACTTTGGTGCGCCAGGTCCTTCAAAGGTTCGGCCTTCAATTCTCCTCCACACTGCCCACTCCTATGCCAGTAGATCACACGCTCTCGGCTCTAGTCCCTGAGGAGTCTGTAGAGCCTAGTGGTCCTTATACAGAGCTAATGGGTTGCCTTGTGTACGTGATAACTTGCCCTCATCCGGATCTCGCATACCGTCTCAGCATTCTGGCTCGCTTTGTGGCCACAGGCACACACCGACCACAGCACTGGTCGGCCGCTGAGAGGGTTTTGCGTTATCTAGCAAGAACATCGGGCATGGGGTTAGTGCTAGGAGGACCCATGACAATGGTCCTAACAGGGCACACAGACGCTTCGTGGTGCAGATGCCATCTCGTGGAGGTCCACCCTCTCGTCGCCTGTTGCCCAGTCTAACAGTGAGGCTGAGATTTACGCCGGTGCCATGGCGGCACAGGAGCTTCGCTGGCTGACTTTCTTGCTCACAGATTTAGGTGAGCGGCCTAGATTTGCCCAAGTCCTGTACGCTGACAACAGGGCCATGATCCTCTTGTGTCAGGAGCCTTGACTGGAGGGCAGAGCCACATACAGCTGCGGTACTTCCTCCTGCGCGAGCTACAGGAGCACCGTCAGGCCCACGTAGTACACTTGGCCTCCGCTGCCAACACAGTTGATATCTTAACGAAGGCGCTTGCGCGTAAAGATCATGAGCGACACTGTGTACAGCTTGGTCTTGTTCCTGTAGCTTCCTACTTGCTATGACCTTGTTTGTGTACCTCTTCTTATATTATCTTGACTGGCCTTGTGGCTGTTGTTCCCATGGCTGGACTAGTAGTGCCGCCCTGGATTACTCTTGTTTAGTTTGTACTCTTGCTGACTGGTCCTTGGACCCTTGCCTCAGATGTTGGACTAGTAGTGCCACCCTGGGCTGCGTGTCTCTTATCAGGCACTGCCCCTCATCTAGCCTAGGGGGTGTGTCAAAACATACATGTATATGTCTTATAGGATAGATAGGTGCATACTCTTAGAGAGTACAAACCCTTAGCATAAAAGCACCTTGTATCTCCCATTCTAGTTAACTTTCTAACTCTGAGAACACCTCCTCCAACACGGACTGGGAGGGAGGTGATTTTGGTGAAGGGCCAGACAGCTCCCTCATACAGCCCCTAGTACGTATCGGCCTTTGATTTTGGTGAAGGACCAGTAAGCGCCCTCACAAAGCCTGCAGCAAGCATCGCGCCCTCCCTGATTTTTGGCTAAGTGCCCGTCAGCGCCCTCCATAGGGGTACCAGCGCTGTCACAGGATCGAATGTGTCGAGGAAAGGTTGCACTATCAATTGATACAAGGCGCTTTTATACTTCCAGAGTACATCGGGTAACCAGGTTTATCTTATTATAAGGGAATAGACCCTTCTAGAAAATAGAATCACCCTGCGTATAGCCACGCAAGGCTATTGACTTTAAGGGATTACGGCAGGATTACGCTAGATATAGCGCACCAGTACATCCCAAGCCTGGTCAGTGATTTAATGATAATAACAGGATAAACCAAAGGTTTTATGGAAAAGAGGGAATAGGAATCCAAATGGAATCAGATAAAGACCAAATGAATCAGGATAAAAAGAGGAATGAAATGGAAAGGAGAAAGGAATGGAACGGGGTCGTACTCTCACAAGCGCAAATCACGCTCCCCCCTATCATTGTATTACAGGATGAATCAAAGTCAACACCCCATATTGGGCTGAGGCATCAGAGTACACTAGTAGTAAAAGAAGTCTGAAAACTCAGTGTTGGTTCATAAATATTTTTTGAGAAATCAGAGTAAGGTACAAAGAAAGGTCTTTGCGATCAGAGTAAACCCCCAAAAAAACTCTGAAAAAGGTCTGAATCAAAGTAAAAAGTATGCAATTTGGGGGCTTGTAAACCACCCACAAGTGAACCAAATTTGCAGCACTGCCATTCACATGGCACGGACAGAGGGCATTGTGTTAAACATGCTAGGTAAGGAGAGGAGCCATGGAAATGGCGTGAGGGTTTAGGTGCTAGGAGAAAAGTTACGAGAGAAAAGGGGAAGACTAGGAAAGAGGAGATACAAGAAGGGGGGGTTGTCTCCTCTACAGTAGGATCCAGCAATGTAGCACCCTACACAAATATGTATAATTTGACACACCCCCTAGGCTAGGTAGTGTCGAGTGACCCGCTGGGGTCACCCTTGAGAAGATCCTCGAGGAAGGGCCACAGGTGCAGAGCCTGGAGGGCTATGGGCGCACAGACCCGCTATTAACAAGCCTTTTTAACTCAGTGGTTAGTGGCTTAGTTTCTGACATGGTATCAGAGCGTTGGTGACTCGGATTCCATTCCTAGTGTTAGCGCTGCAGAGCCGCTTGTGTCTTCCACCTATCCGAGCGAGGGGGGGTGTCGAGTGACCCGCTAAGGTTACCCTTGAGAAGATCCTCGAGGAAGGGCCACAGGTGCAGAGCCTGGGGGGCTATGGGCGCACTAACGCGCCATTAACAAGCCCTTTTAACTCGGCGGTTAGTGGTTGAGTTTCTAACAGGTAGTCCCAAGCCCACCCAACACGCAACAACACAAGCCCATGCACCCCCATGTCCTACAGCAAGTGGGGCTTCTACCTCTCGTGCGAAGCGGTGACAGCAACGGCGGCGGCGGCGGCTTCGACGACGACGGCGGCGACTTCGTAGCTCGCAGCACCCGGCGGCGTGGCACGACCCGGCGATGACCGGGTATGAAGGCATCAGCTGCTGCTGGAAAGAGGGGAGATGCAGGGGAGGCAGGGGGCGAATATGCAGCGAGGCGCCATGGCTGGCGTGGCGCCTAAAGCGGCGCGCGGCCCACGGCAGAACGTCGACACCGCCATGGCATCACATCGATGCCACGGCAGCACGTCGACGCTGCCACGGCTGCACGACGGCGCCACCACGGCAGCGCGTCGAGGCTGCCACGGCAACATGACGGAGCCGCCATGGCAGCACGACATGGCTGCCACGGCGGCGCGGAAGTGACAGGAGGGAGGAGAGTACGAGGCACAAGCGTGAGGAGAAGGCCCGAGCGGAAGGGCCTGCTCTGGTACTATGTTATGTAATAATTTGAATTTGACAGGTGTTGCAGGAGACTAAGTAGAGAATCTGCAAGCACGAATACTAGGAATCCCTCAAGTGTTAGGCTAGGATCTTTACTGGAATGGTAGACTAGTAAGACAGCGGAAGTCTTGTAAGAGTGAACCTGAATATAAAATTCTGCGGAAGGTCAAGTCTCAAAGTTGAAATTTCAAGGTTAATAATAAAAAGGACACAACAATGATTTATAGCTCTAGGAAAGTACCTGTTCGCTAATGTACCTGTTCGTCACTATCGCGCTATGCGCCCTAGATGATAATGGAGAGGTGCGACTATTCGCATGACTGAAACGACTGTCCTATGACGAGCACTATTTGCTGACGTCATCCTACAAACTTATCTTCTACAGTAGGATTCGACACTTTCTAGCGATAAACGACTTACAGAAATGCTAAGTATGAAATATATCACAACATGTTAAACATGCTAGGTAAGGAGAGGAGCCATGGAAATGGCATGGAAAGGGTTAAGTGCTAGGAGAAAAGTTACGAGAGAAAAAAGGAGAGACTAGGAGATACAAGAAGGGGGGGTTGTCCCATCTATAGTAGGATCTAGCAATGTAGCACAACTACCAAGCCTTCACAAAAATATATATAAATATATAATTTGACAAATTGAACTAAGGGACTGAGGGGGGAGTACAATTATCATGTATGGTAATATTTAGTCTTGGTATTTACTAATCTGGTAGTTGCTGCATAACATCCACATGTATCATTGACCCAGCAGCACCTTTGAGCCTGCAGCATCAGATGCGTATCAGACAGGCCCCCTGCAAACTAGTGAAGAAATCAGAGCGACAGACAGAAATAAACTCAGCTCCAGCAGAGGAGAGTGCAATCATCTCCTGCTTCGTAGAATTCCAAGAGATAGGTCCGATAGGTTCAAGCCGATAGATGAACCCAGTGCGTGACCGTCGATTAGTAGAGTCAGCAGCGTGATCGGCGTCGACAAAACCATGTAGGTAGAGTGTTTTACAACCGATGACGTTGTAGACTAATCCGACGTTGGGTGTCGAGATAAAATATTGAAGCGAGCGGAGAAGATTAAGAGGATAGTAAGACAGCGGAAGTCTTGTAAAATGTAAAGGTCAAGGTTGAATAACCTGAGTACCTGAACTTGTGAGTAAGCAAAGTTAATAATGAAAAAAAGACCTAACAGAGATTTATAGTTCTACGAAAAGTACCTATTCGCTAATGTACGTGTTCGTCACTATCGCGATATGCGCCCTAGATGATAATGAAGGGGTGCGACTGTTCGCGTGACTGAAACGACTGTCCTATAACGAGCGCTATTTGCTGACGTCATCCTACGGATGCTGGTTGAATAACAAAGATACTGGTTCATGCGCAGGAAGGCGCGCGTCTTACGCCATTCGGGTCCAAGACCAGCCAGAAGTACCGTGAGATACATCTCACGAGGGAAGTATCCCCCACTTTTCTCCAGTTGGTCACGTAATGTACGGACGCAGTTAACGTAGTCCATGACGTTTTCGTTTGTCATCATCTGCACACTTGTCAGCTGCGAAAGTATTTTACTCACTATTATCGTATCTTTTGCCATGTATACCCCTTTCAGATGATTCCATGCAGTTTCGGCTGGTGTGAAACTTGAGTGAAATTATCAAACGCCGAGCTGCTCCTTCGGCGACAAGTTCCGTACAAGAACTGTATACGCTCCGAGAGAGGCGTGCAAGAAACTCTGCCGCTCCAGTTGTGTTCCCACGACAGGATACGTAAATTCGCCAGTAAAGAACGGCCATAGCCCAGCGGACTGCGCCAGAAGTTCAAACTCAAAGCTCCAGGAGTAGAAGTCAACACCATTAAAAGGTACGGTTGTCTTGATCTGAGTATTATTAAGTAAATTTGGAGGCTGAAAAACAATGCATGGCTGTTGCTATTGTTGCTGTTGCTGTACTTGCTGTGGTTGCTGAGCAGGAGGACGTCCGAAGACACAAAAGGGATGCTGAAACTGCTGCGACTGCGGCTGCTGTACGAAAGGTGAGAAAGCGAACGAACCAGTATTTGGAGCTGTAGCTCCACGCATGTAACTTGAGCCGTCAAGGCTCATTCCACTGAACACAGATGAAATTGATTGCGTTGAAACTGGTGGCTGTACTGATGCTTGTTGCTGTGCTGTTGTCTGTGATTGTTGCTGTTGCGTTGCAGGTGCAGTCGATGGAGCACCTGGAGTATTCACAGGAGGCGGATTCTGCATACCGATATTAGCGTAGGCTGGTGGAAAGTGCCCAGAAGCTGAGAGACCAGCAGTGGTAGTGGAGGCATGTGCTCCAGTAGTCCCAGTAACTGATCCAGCAGATGGTGCTGATGTTGAACCAGTCATATTTGACGGTAGTCTTAATTCCAAATAGCTCTCATACCATGAAATAAATCGACAGGTGTTGTAATAGACTAAGTATAAAACTATAAACACGAACACTTGGCAAATCCTCAAGTGTTGGTCCAGGATCTTTGCTGGAATGGTAGACTAGTAAGACAGCGGAAGTCTTGTAAAATGTAAAGGTCAAGGTTGAATAACCTGAGTACGTGAACTTGTGAGTAAGCAAAGTTAATAATGAAAAAAAAGACCTAACAGAGATTTATAGTTCTACTAAAACTACCTATTCGCTAATGTACCTGTTCGTCACTATCGCGCTATGCGCCCTAGATGATAATGAAGGGGTGCGACTGTTCGCGTGACTGAAACGACTGTCCTATGACGAGCGCTATTTGCTGACGTCATCCTACGGACTTATCTTCTACAGTTGGATTCGACACTAACTACACTTAATCGACTTACAGAAATGCGAAGTATCAGTTATATCACAACACCCTCTACAGTAGGATCTAGCAATGTAGCACAACTACCAAGCCTTCACAAAAATACATATAAATATATAATTTGACAAATTGAACTGAGGGACTGAGGGGGGAGTACAATTATCATGTATGGTAATATTTAGTCTTGGTATTTACTAATCTGGTAGTTGTAGCATAGCATCCACATGTATCATTGACCCAGCAGCACCTTTGAGCCTGCAGCATCAGATGCGTATCAGACAGGCCCCCTGCAAACCAGTGAAGAAATCAGAGCGACAGACAGAAAGAGCTCACTCAGAGCAGCATCTACATCCCGGTAGCGTCGAACATTGGGTCTGTAACATGGAGTTGACTGAGACATTGAACACTTCAAACAAGGCACAATCTCCCATCTTGTTCCCCTGCTAGTGGAACACACACACCTCCCCGCTTGAGAGCATCAGAAGAGCACCTCCATCCCCGTGACATTGAATATGTCGTCTCGTGACAGTGGCTCCCGGTTCAAACTAACAGCCACCTCACAAGAGCTCGCTGAAGCAGCACCCACTCCACCCCCCTGTGAGCATCAGAACAGCACCTCCATCCCCGTGACATTGAATATGTCAAACATGGATAGGTCGCCTGTCTTGTTCCCCTGCTGGTGGAACACACACGCCTCCCCCCCCGTGAACCTCGACCGCACCCGCATCTCCCTCCGCCCCCCTCTCCCATCCCCCTCTATCTCCAACGCCTCTGCGCCATACCCTCCCAGTAGGTGGAAAATGGAGTTGAAATAGTCAAGCTGGATAAACAGAGGCGGGCTGCTGGCATTTAAATCAGGTCCATCTGAGGGGGAGAGGGAAGAAGCGGAGTTGGGATTGGAGTTGGTTGCTGCTGAAGGGGGAGGTAGGACCAGGGAAGGGGTGACCACCGGAGGCTTTTTCACGCGGGAGAATTTTTTGCCTTGAGGGAACGGGGTCGGGGTACGGGGCAGGCCCTTGAAAAGTTTGTCCTGCCCGAGGAAGACGAGCATGAACTGCCGTTGGTCGTCCAGGCAGTCGCCTATGTAAGCAGCGTCAATCGCGCTGGCCACAGCCCATGCGAACCCCATATAAGTGCCAGCGTTAACGAACTTAAAAGGGGTTTCCCGAGAAGGCTTCGGGTATAAATCTTCATAAAGCCACCATTCAGGGAAGCAGTATTTTTCCGCGCCGAAAACCATCGGAGACCCCAGATCCAGGAACTTCTGGATAATGTCAACTGGCCGGCAGTGCTGAGCTGGCAAGATGAACGCGTCATCAGCGTCCGACACGATAACGATTCTGTCTGCGGGTAAAGAGTGCAGATAGTCCCTGAAAATCCGGAGCCTGCCGCCGAAACCCCTCCACATAGTGTTCAGCCCGACCACGGCTAACGGAATGCCTGCCACGTGGCAGAGCTTGGCTAGACGGTTCAGATTCACTCCGCATTCCGTGGAGTACACCACCCACTCGACCAGACACCCCTCCGTCGAACTTCTAGAAGATTTTGTCAATGCCGCCGATCCTTCGTTAGAAGCACACCCGTCGACAATATCCGGGTGGTAGTAGCCAGGAACCCGCGAGGATCGCGCTCGTTTCAACCCTTCTTCGCCGCGTTTCGCGGCGGCCATGGTGAGATCGGAGCACGGTTCGGGGCGGAGAAAGGGGTGTTGGAAGCGGTGGATATGGGCGAAGCGGTTGTAGATGCAGGACTGCCATAGATGGACGATCTCCTCCCGCTGCTTCTCCAGTGATTCGCTCGAAAAAAAGCCGGTCGCGTAGAGCCCCGCGAGAACCGCGTTCAGCGCGAAGAACGCGATGAAAGCCGCTTGGATCGCGACCCGGCCTTTGCCAATCCGCCATAGACTGGTTGGATTGATCATGCTCGGTCGAAACCAGGAATCACGTGGCTTTCGTGGGCTGCAAACCGTTCGATTCTGGAAGGATCTGGAATTAAGCGGCTTCACGGACACCATGGCCTGCAGCCTTGAAGGAGGTGCGGCGCTGGAACCGACCAAGATGAGCTGGTTTTCTAGAATTCTCACGACCCAAAGGAGGTGCCCATGGCGTGTAGCCTTGAAGGAGTAGGGATGGTGGTATCCTCCAAGATGAGCGGTCGCTCTAAGAGTCGTCCGAGCGATGATGCACCAACGATGGCAAGATACTACGGATCCGCGTCATCGCGCTACGTAACTAGCGCCAAGCTACTTGACGCATGAGATCGCTTTCATCCGCGGCGTCAGCGGTGTTAGCGGCCCGTGTGAACTAACTATTAGGTGACTCTGAACCCTGCGATAACAGTCGGGAAGTCTGAACTGACACGTCACCTGCATCTACGGCTGCAATATCGTCGCTGGACGTGGCGTCTCTAGTATGGGCTTTGTGGCTAGACTGTCTAGGCGAGCTTGTTGGGAGAATTACAGGGCTTCCAATCGAGAAACGAACCACCATCAGGAAACACCTCCTAAGCGGGTGCCAGGGCACAGTAAGTAGTAGTCGAACAAGAATCTAGAGCCTCTAGCGAGTATCATGCATCAACGGCGAGATCTGGATTGAGAAAGCGGCAATGGCAATTCAAAGCCCAGGTCGAGAATCGAGGCCTGCCTGAGTCGAGATTTGAGGCTATCCCCACCGTCCATTTTCCTTTACCCGCCTCAAATTCTGCAGACAGGCAGCAGCGACGGGGAAGGTGAGATCTGCAACAGAAGCGGGGTCTGAACGAATGAATGGACAGAACGGCACTGTGCTCAACGGGACGGAAGGGGCACGATTCTGAGTGCCCCGATTAGATCGTCAAGCATAAGCTGTGAGTGTAGATCTACAGAGATAAAAACACCTAATTTCGTCGTAGCATGACAGATGTAACAAGCTACAGACAAATCCTACACTTTTTGCTCCTTGAAAAACGCAACTAGAACACGACCCGAGTGTCCAACGTGGAAGCACACCCGTATGGCCGAACCTTCCTCGGAAAGGACGTGCGGCAGCCATGGCCAGTGGCCTGGCCACCACTAATACGAAGGTCGTATCGCAGTCGCAGCTGGGTCATTCTTCCCGTCGAAGGGATTCCGCGTATTCGCCCTAGCCCAGCGGTAGTACTACTTACTAACGACTTCGCTCTGATCCTGGACCGTATTCTTTCGTCCTCAACTCCACCCGCTCCTAAAGCGGCTGGCGCTCGAAGTACAAGGTTGCAGGCGCTAGTAGCGAGTACGGGAGGCACGCTATTCTCCATAGCAGGTTGAGAAGGCGGAAGCAGGCAGGAGGAGGGGAAAGTCGACAGAGGGAAATCGAACAGAGAGGAAACTTTCCTTGCTTTTCGGCTTGAAGCGGGCAGAGAACGCGATAGAAGCAAGCAAGCGGGAGCGGCGAGGACAGCGTATTTTGTTGGTTTTTGAGAGTTTTCAAAAACCAACTTACCTCGAGGACAGCGTGTTTTGAGTCGGCTCAAAGCATACCAGGCGAGGACAGCCGGCAGCATGTCGTTCAAGGGGCCGCGGAAGGGGTTCCTGGAGGCGTTCAAGTTCACGTGCTACGTGGGCATCCCCATCGCCATGATGATCGTCTTCGCCAATAACCAGGACAACCTCGAAGCCATCATCCGAAACGTGAGCTTAGTACCACCTCTTGCCTTGTGATAATAATCGAGTTTTGAGACGTCTCAACACGTGAGTTCAGTACCGCTTCGACCCCAACCTCGAGCCATCAACCTCGTGAGTCGTGTCGTGTCGTGTCGTGCCATGCCGTGCTGTGTCGTGTGTCGTGTGTCGTGTCGTGTCGTGCCGTGCCGTGCCGTGCCGTGCCGTGCCGTGTCTTGTCTTGTCGCGTCGCGTCGTGTCGTGTCGTGTCGTGTCGTATCGTGTCGTGTCGTGTCGTGTCGTGTCGTGCTGTGTCATGTTCGATACTCATCGCCTAATTGAACATGCGAACCAGCCCCGTCCTTCTCGCCCTCCCGTTCTCCCTTCATCTATCTGTCATTTCTATTTCTCTCGCCCTTCCTCTTATTTCTCCCCCTGCATCTGGTAACCCCCCTCTCCCCCTGCCCACCCCCTTCAATCCATTACCCCACTCTCTCTCCCTCTCTCCCCCTCTGTCTCTGCGTCTCTCTCTCCTTTCCCCCTCCCCCCATGCACACATACACTCACGCATCCTTTCTCAAGTCCCCTTTTCCCTCATCCCCACATCACGCCTATGTAATCCACCGCCCAGAGGGTCCTCAGCTCCGCACTGCAGAGGATGTCTGGTTCTTTCTTCACCTCGTAAAACCCATCCGCACGCCGTCTAATCCCTCCCCTCCCCCATCCGCACGCCGTCTAATCCCTCCCCTCCCCCATCCGCACGCCGTCTATTCCCTCCCCTCCCCCGTCCGCACAGCGCGCCTATGTGATCTACCCTCCAGAGGGCCCTATGTGATCTACCCTCCAGAGGGCCCTACGTGATCTGCCCCCTGGTGTGCTCCCCGCTGCAGGGGGGGTCTAGGGATCGGTTATTACGCACCTCGTGAACCCCCTCTGCGGACTGTCTATTCCCTCCCCTCCCCCAACCGCACAGCGCGCCTATGTGATCTATCCCCCCGAGGGCCCTCGGCCCCCCACTGCAGAGGAGGTGAGGGGGCTAGCGCAGATGAGGCAGCAGGTGCAGGAGAAGCAAGCTGGGGGAAAGTGAGGGTTTCAGGTTGCAGCATAGAGGAAAGGAGGGGAGGGGGGTCGCAGGGGGCAGGGGGACTGGCGCAGGGGGCTGGGGGACTGGCACAGGGGCAGGGGGACTGGGGCAGGGGCGCAGGGGGACTGGTGCAGATGCGGCCGGGAGCAGACGGCAGGAGAAGCAGGGGAGGAGTGATGGTTTCAGATAGCGGGGGAAGCGATGCACAAGAGGAGTGTTGCACATTTGAGCGGCACGGGAGAAGCAGGGTGTGGGCAGGCAGGTGAGGGGCATAGTCAAGAGGAAACTATTTCATTCAAGCTTAGATGGCAGGGCATGGAGCGTATATGGGTAGTGGCACCTGCAAGCAGTGTGGTCGTTTTGGTGCCTAAACATACCAGCTAGACACGGGTTCTGCGTTGGGGAACTGAGGTGGGAGGAGGGCGGGATGGGATGGGGGGAGCATGTAGGGTAGCACAGCATGAGGTGAGGTACCAACGTGATGGGACGAAATGTGTTGCAGTTGTAAACTACTTGTATGGTACTAGAAATATCAACCAATTTGCTAGTTGGTTATCCCTAAATATCCACACGAATCTCTGGTAGTAAGGCAGCAGCACGTCAGTTGGGCCATCCAGTTGGGAGCTTTAGCTTCACTTGCTTCAGTACACCGCCCTCTCCAATTCCAAGCTCAACACGAAGGCATCTATGAAGCAAGGTGCTAGCGAAAATATATTAGCGAGGTGTTTCATGTATGAAGGCAATGCAGTGCGGCATTCCAGCACCGAGCACGGTCAGCAGAGAGAGCGTTCTTCTGAGCTATCTAATGTTGCACTGCTGCAGCACTGGAAGGGCGCACTGCATTGACCTGCAAGCAAGGCACGCATGCTTGCTTTCCTCTTTCTTCCACTCTTCAAGCTCTGCATCACCCTCCCCTCGCCCCCCACATACCCTCTTCGTCTGCCCCCTCCCCCCCTCCCCCGTCTCTCCTCCCCCCCCCCCCCCCAACTGTACAGTATCATCAAATCTTGGTGTGAGTGGGGATGAGCATGCGGTCGACCCCATGGGCAATGAACCAGCGGCCCACATACAGCCCGGGGATGCGGATCGTGGTCCACTGTGCCTGCTTCAAATACGGCCCTTTGGCAAACGACACCGCGCTGCTATTCGCCGCCGTCATCTTGAACACCGGCTGCCGGAGCTGCGTGCCCACCGCCACCCGCTGCTTCACCTGGCGCAGCTGCGGGACGGTCATGCGCTTGCGCAGGATGTGGAACGCTGTGATGTTGTACACCGTGGGGATGCTGCTGCTCTTAGCGGGGATCCTCTTGGCGAGGGCCTCTGCGTGCGCGTTGTTGGGGATCAGGATGGACGCGTCTCGCAGCGCTGATAGGTCGTACCTCGAGTTGACTGGGGAAGAGGGGGGGGGCGGGGGAGACAGGAGGAGTGAGAGCGAGTGATTTTGGAAAAAGAAAATGATTTTGGGGGGAGGAGGGGGGGGGGAGAGGGGAGCGGAAGGGGTGTGGGAGGGGAGGGGAGGGAAGGGGAGGGGGCGGGGCAGGGAAGAAGAGTTAACTTGGTTTCGACGAGCGGAGGGGAAGGGACCAACAAGGAACGGCCCAACCAAGGTCTTACGGGCGCGGTTGATGGATTTCGAGGCGTCCTGCGCGTATCTAGAACCACCCGTGGACGAGGAGGGATGGGAATGGGATGAGAATGGGATGAGATTAGGGTTCTTACGGGCGAGGTTGATGTATTTGGAGGCGTCCTGCGCGTATCTAGAACCACCCGTAGACGAGGAGGGATGGGAATGGGATGAGAATGGGATGAGATTAGGGTTCTTACGGGCGAGGTTGATGTATTTGGAGGCGTCCTGCGCGTATCTGGAGTACTGCGGGTACCGCTTCACGATGCTCTTCGTCATCGCCTGCAGCTCCGCGCGCAGCTGCGCCTTCGTCGGCGGAGCAGGCGCCTTCTGCGCGCTGCCGCCCGGCACGCGCGCTGCCGCTATGCATGTGGCTACCACTAGGGCTAGGAGCAAGCCGCCTCCGAGCCGCGCCGCCATTCCCGGTGATTGCTTCGAGCCTCGGACGTGATGTGCTGTGTCCTTACGTGATGTGTTGCAGCCTTGCGGATGGTTTCGCAAATTCGCACCAAAGATGCACGCGGGTTGAGAACGGAGCGCGTGATTTGCGGATGGTGCACGCGAATCGCTAACTTAGAGAGCGATCAATTGCTCGGCTGTTAATGCACGGGATTTGAGCGGGATCGGGTGGCTGGTAGCTAGAGTTGTTGCTTGGCCTGTCGTCGCTTGCTGGGCTGGAAGCTTCGAAGTCGTATTGGGTTGCTAGAAGGTTGTGGTAATGAATGTAGACTTGAGCCAAGCCGTATTTGTAGGCTAGTGAGAGCTAGAGGAATGTCATGGCCAGATCGTCCTGGCCAGATCGTCCTGGCCAGATCACCCTGGCCGGAGCGCCCCTTCGCAATAACGCCTAGAAGCACGCGTGGTAGTGTCTCTCCAATCGACACGCGAGGAAGCTAAGTCGCCGCCAAACGGCCGTGTCGCGCCGCTTCGGCGCATGACGGCTGGCCTTATAACGCCACGGCAACTTACGATGCGGTTGTGGGAGGGCGAACGAGACGCGAACACATAGCTTCTTAGAAACCAGCTGGGTTTCGCATGAAACAGGGCTGCTGCGAGGGACAATTCGGCCAAGGGGGGCAGCGAGGAGATTGACGCTTGTGCGACGAGCCGACGACGCGGTGTGCGACGTCTGTGCTTCGGTGACTGCGAGGTGTAAGGAAGGTCCCCTCGCCAAACCGAATGCCTCGAAGGTGTATTTTCCAGCACAATTGTAGCGGACATCCCAATGTATATTTATAATAAAGCGTTCTACACCTCACTCACGCAGCAGTTCTTCAATGCTAGACATTGGTTCATGCTAGAACATGAGGTTGTTATGAGTGAAGGTGCAACAATCAAATATTTAACACCATAAACAACCGAGACCAGACGAGATGACATACAAACACATCAGAGTGGCTATATCGGAGTCGGGTTGCTATGAGACCTTCGCTCGCACTACCAACTCATGGCGCAAGTAGGGTTGAAAGGGGGGTGCATGATCAGTATGTTAAAATTATATAAGTTATAATTTATATAGGCTTGGTAGGTTGTTACTGAACCTTTTCTGTAGAGGGTACAAACCCCTCCTTGTACTCCTCTCTCTTCCTAATCCAACTCTCTTTTCCTCTTGTTGGAAATATCTCAAGGACTTAAGCGTTTCTGAAGTGTAACACTGTACTCGAGGAAGATTACAGGGGAGCACGCGAGTCAACGGAGGTTACACGAGGGGGCGGACAAAGAATGCGAAAGGACTCGAAAGGTCGCAACTGGAGGTTGCGACTGACCGTTACAACATCACGGATGGTAACCGAAGCGGCAATCGAGTCGCTGTGCGACTCGATAAACCGTTCCTGTAACTGTATTCTACAACTGCTTCCTTATCTTCTATATATTGCTGTATGCTTGTTTCTTTAATCAATCACTTGTTCTCACATACTAGTACAAGGGTTCAACTGTCTCAACTTCCGCTGCACTACTCCAAGTCTCAAGTCTCTACAAGCTGGGACTTAGTCTCTGCAAAAGATCCTAAGGGCTTTTCTCAGCCCAACATGGTATGAGAGCTGGTCAGAGATCAAAACTCCCAGCAACTACACTCCATCAACAACCAGCAACTCAACTTGATTCAACAACTCCATTGATTACAAGACATGGACAACAAGGGCAAGAAAGTCTCTACGGGCTCACCCAGCGCCCAAGAAACTCAACACGGCAACTCTGGTCTGCACACCTCAGGACTGCAGACAGAGACCGGGACTACTCAAGAAACAACGGGAAGAGTACCAGAGATGGTGACTCCGTCTCCCTCTTCAAGTGTGGACCCGAATCTCATGGAGAGATTCTTCAGCTTCATGTCACACTTCGACCAGCAGCAGCAGACAAGGACACCTGCGCACTCAACACAGAGCAATGGAGGGAATATGGGATTAGCGCCGATGAGCCTCGACAACTCATCCTTCGGGCGACACAACCAAGCGCCTACCTTTGCGCCTTATCATTCTTCGCCGGGGACGTTCGAATTCATGCCGCCCCGTGCCCAGCCAACAGCAGCTGCTTCACAACAAACACCGAATGAAATCTTAAGTTTACAGGCGCAGTTCTCACACGTGATCAAACTTCAGACATCCTCACCGTTCAACGGACACGACTTCTTTACCTGGAGCTTCGAGTTTGAGCTGCTGATGGAGGCCGCGCATCTTCTGGGATACTTCAACGGGTCCCTGCCATTCCCAAGCAACGGCACTGGGAAGGAACAAGAGATCTTCACGTATCAGTCGCTGCTGGCGTACACGGTACTCCTGAGAAACCTGTCACCACAAGAGCAGCAGAGCATCAGAACGTATCGGAGTTATGGAAACTCCGCGGAGCTCGCATGGCACCACCTCAAATGCCTTTACCAAGCAAACGACAGCGTGACACAAAGCAGACTCATGCAACAGCTGACAACAATACAGATGAAGACCGGGGAAAAGGCGATGCAGTATATGAGTCGCTGCCAGACCCTCCGCGACCGCCTGCTTCGGTGCGGAGGAACGATCACTGAAGAAAGCTTCGTGACACTTGTCCTCGCCGGGCTCGGGCCAGAATGGAGAACCACACGATCACTTCTTCGAGCCCACGGAAGAATTTCGGAGATGCACCTCTGCGCCGAGCTTCACGCTGAACAACAGGAGATGGATCTGTTCGAGGAAAGACAACCAAGGAAGCAACAGCAGTTAGTCTTCTACACTCAAAGAAGAAATGACAACAACTACAACCGACGCAGCAAGCAAGATCAACGCGACAACCGAGGACTCACCATCGTGCCGCCGTTCTGCCACAACTGTCAGACTTCCGGGCACTCCAAGGTCAACTGCAACCGCCCTCGCGTTTACCGTGCAGCAGACCCACAAGTCGCTTCCACTCAAGCAAGTCCTCCAAGGCGCTCTTCAACATCTGCACAACAAACACCCAACATCATCAACTGCATGGTACACATCGACAACTGCGCACCCGCTTCACCACCCACTTACGCACCAGACGAAGAGGAATTCCCGCCGCCGCGCTCGCAAGGACTTCAGGTCAACCCGACATACGCTGCAGTCGCTAACGCCGAACCCACCGGGCGGAACACCTGGTTCTTGGACAGTTGCTGCGGTCAGCACATGTGCTCCTCCGGACGCTTCGTACAACACGAGCGACGCCTCAACCGCGACGTCGTCATCACCGTCGCCAACAACGAAAACCTGAAAACAAACAGGCAAGGCGTGGTTCAGTTACAATCAATGGAGACAAACGTTATTCTTCAGCTCAACAAAGTCCTCATCGTCGACAATCTGGGATACAACCTACTAAGCGTAAGCCAACTAATGGCTAAGGGGATTCACCTGGAGTGCGACTCCTTCTCCAACGAGTTCCGACTTTACCACGGGAAGGGCGGTCTCTTCATCGGTCGTGCCCTCCTGAAGTCCGGTGTCTTCGTGTTGGACTTCGTCCCCGACCGCGGAACTGCCGACAGCGATGGCATCGTATCGTTCGCCGCCTGGACTCACCCACCAGATCTTGATCCCGACTTCGACAGTGACGGCTTCTGGCACTCCAACACCATACCTGCAGCAGAGAGAACACGGGCATTAGCAGTTATCAGACAAGAAAGACAAGTACCAGCAAGCGTCCCAACAAAACCATCACCTGCAGTATCGGCAGCAGGACCCAGCCGAGTACCACCACCATCAACACGAGGACCGCCAACGGAAGCAGACCAACTTATGCCCGCCACACGAGAAGCTTGTCGAAGTCCCGCCTCGGTCGTCGCGTTCTTCTCCAACGCCGACATCTACCACCGCTCGCCCGGTCACCGCGCTCCCGACGACATCTGGCACCAACGTCTCGGACATCCTGCAAACAGCACGATACTACAAACAATACAAGCAGAGGTGTTAGAACGTAACGCCCTTCTAACGACGAGCGGCCAAGAACTTCGCCGACCAAGAGCACGATGCTTCACGTGCCCCGAAGCAGATCTTCCTCATCAACCTTTCCCAGCCCATCACAATCCAAGCGCACCCACTTACGCTCCGATGGAAAAGGTCTACAGCGATATTCTAAACATGCCTCGAGACGACACCGAAGCCGACTTCAACTACGTCATCACGTTCATCGACGCCGCAACCAGATACGTCTGGCACTTCAATCTCAAAACGCGCGATCAAGCCTTCGAGGCCTTCACCACATGGCTTCCAATCGCCGAACGAGAGTCAGGAACCAAACTCAAGAGTTTCCAGTCAGACGGTGCACTGGAATACCAGTCACAACGCTTCAGGACCTATCTCGCGGAAAGGGGAATCCGACGCCTGGTGTCTCTGCCCTATGCTCACCAGCAGCAGGGGGTAGCAGAACGCATGAACCGGACCTTGCAGACGACGATGCGAAAACTGCTTCTGGGGATGAGGCTGCCCAATACACTGTGGCCAGACGCGATGACACATGCAGTCCACCTGCACAACCTGTTGTCCTCGTCATCGCTCCCCAACAACGCATCACCGCACCTGCTGTGGACGGGAAAAAGGGGCAGCACAAAATTACTTCGAGTTTTCGGCTGCATGGTACAATACAGACCCCACACAGCTCGAGCAGGACGCTTCACTCAACGAGCTCGGTGGGGACTACACCTCGGCATCGCCAAACATTTTCACGCGTGGAAGATTCTCGACATACACGACAAAAATACGGTGGCATCACGTGATGTTATCTTCTACGAGCGACTGACGCTGCAGCATTACCTGGACAACATTGCCAACTCAGACGACCCCACCGACGGCTTCGCGGGCCTTCGCTCCTTCGCTGACCATGCTGCCGAGGCTGACGCAGCAGAAGAAGACGTCCCTGGAGCCTCGGAGGCTGCCGGACCACTCCCCTACTGCTCCGTACCTGTTCCACTCGATGAAGATAATCCTCTCGATAGCAACAACCTCGACACCTTTTACCACTTCGCTGACCAAGGCTACGCTACACCACACCCCGTCGACTCGAATATTTCCGAACGCATCGGGCCAAACTTCTTACCCGATCCTGAAGACGGTGATGAAGCAGCTTATCCCGAGAATGAAAACTCCCCTCGACACACAGCCACGGGACTGCAGATCCTAGGACTATGGGTCTCCGTCCAGCACCCGCCGCCGCCTTCTCCGCGCGAGCCGTCGACCCTGTCGCAGGCTCTGGGGGGGGAACATAAGGCACAATGGAAGGAAGCGATGGAAAAAGAGTTAAAAGCTCTGCAAGACCGAGAAACATGGAAACTGGTACCTGCAACGAGCATCAACGGGAAGAACATTCTCTCGGGGAAATGGGTGTACCGCATCAAGACCAACTCAGACGGCTCCATCGAACGATTCAAAGCTCGATGGGTCGTACGAGGCTTCGATCAACGATACGGAACCGACTACACAGAAACCTTCGCTCCAGTCTCCCGTCACACCTCTCTGCGCATCCTACTCGCCATCGCGGCCACGAAGAAACTACCACTACGGCAAATCGACGTTGCAAACGCCTTCTTGTACGCACCTGTG